TTACTGTGAAATCCTCACGAGCATGTGCTCCTCGACTCTCCTTTCTAGCCTCAGCAGAATGCATTGTTATACACGCATTTATCAAAAGATTCTCCAACTCCATTGTTTCCACCAGATCCGAGTTCCTAAAATGTAAAAAGAAACAGAGCTTTTGTAATATAAAGACAGTTTTTTAATTTCCAACGAGAAGTAGTCTCTCACTCACTCACCATATCAAACTCCGATCCTTGACTTTGACATCACCAAAACTGTCCCACGTCTTATCGATCAAGTCACAACCTATAATCATAAAAACCAAAACTTTTAAAAACTTCATGAGAGAGACTTGTAATGCACGTCATAACTTTTCGTTTGTTTGTTACCTTCCTCTAGTGTTTCTTGTGTACGGAAGACAGCAGCATTGTTCTGCATTACTCTCTGCATGTTTAAACGGATCTTAGAAGTTGGAAGCGACCCGTTTGAGTTCCTTATCCGGTCCAACCATTCGATACTCTTCTCACCCGCATCCTTCTCTAAAGGTTTCAGTTTCTCGCCTATATAAACACCATAAAGCAGAGATGTTACGTAGAGAGATTCTTGTATCAAGCTTCATATTTAGTTCATCTAGATATGTTCCCTACCTGGTTTTTGAATCTCTGCAACTCTGTTTGCACAAGCTCGGCCAAAAACAACAATATCAAGAAGTGAGTTTGCGCCAAGTCTATTAGCTCCATGAACAGATGCACATGCTGCTTCTCCTGCAGCCATTAGTCCAGGAACTATAGAATCTGGATCGTCGCCTCTAACAGTAACCACCTGAGAATCACATAGATGTTAATCAATCTGTTCCAACATTTGAATATCGTTTCATGATTTCATCTTCTCGTTTACCTCTCCATGGTAGTTTGTGGGAATACCTCCCATATTGTAATGCACAGTAGGCAACACAGGAATCGGCTCTCTTGTAACATCGACACCAGCGAAGATAGCAGCAGTTTCTGATATACCAGGAAGCCTCTCCTTAAGCACCTCTGGTGGTAGATGGTTTAGGTGAAGGTAGATATGATCTTTCATAGGTCCTGTTAAAGAACAATGTTGCATACGCTCAATAAGTTACTGTAGTAAACTCTCAAAGGAGTTATGGTCTTACCTGCACCACGCCCCTCGCGTATCTCCATAGTCATGGATCTTGACACAACATCTCTTGAAGCAAGATCTCTAGCTGTAGGAGCATACCGGTCCATGAACTTCTCACCTTCACTGTTTCTAAGAATCCCACCTTCACCTCGAGCTCCTAAAATGTTTAAACTGACAAAAAGTCAAGAACTATTGTCTTGCCTAGAGAGGATCCTTAATGGTTTGGTAAGAAACACAGACCTTCAGTGATGAGACATCCAGCTCCATATATACCAGTAGGATGAAACTGAACAAACTCCAAATCCTGCAGCGGGAGACCGGCACGTGCAACCATTGCATTTCCATCCCCTGTGCACGTGTGTGCCGAAGTTGCAGAAAAATAAGCTCTTCCGTATCCCTAAAGGCAATTATAATTGATAATGATCAGTTTCAAAAATCCAAAAAACAAGATACGTTCCAAGAAACATCATCTTACACCAGTGGCTAAAATCGTTGAACCAGCATGGAAACGATGTAAAGTGCCATCTTCCATGTTCAGTGCAATCACTCCCTGACATGTTCCTGCTCATGATCATCACATATACCAAAAGCATTTAGTATGTGTTGACATACTTCTCTTAATCAACCCTACAATTACTACTTACCATCACTGTTCATGATCAGATCCAAGGCAAAGTACTCAACAAAGAACTGAGTGTTATGTTTCATCGCTTGACCATAAAGAGTGTGTAACAAAGCGTGCCCAGTTCGGTCAGCAGCACACGCGCAACGGTATGCTTGACCACCTAAATAAAAATTACAAAACGATTATGAGAAATGTACAAACTTTAGATTTGCATAAATCAAGAATTACAAAAAAAAACCTTTTCCAAAGTCTAGACTCTGGCCACCAAAAGCACGCTGATATATTTTCCCATCCTCTGTTCTAGAAAACGGCAAACCGTAGTTCTCAAGCTCGATCACAGCTTTTGGAGCTTCCCTGCACATATACTGAATCGCATCTTGATCACCTAATAGAAACAATAGACATATGAGGCCAAAAATGTTATATCACTATAGAAACTAATTCAAGAAACATCACACATACCTAACCAATCACTTCCTTTGACAGTATCATACATATGCCAACGCCAATCATCTTCACTCATATTACCCAACGCAGCATTAATACCTCCCTTCACCAAAATTTCAACAATTTAGCTTAATTACAAGAGTGAAACAACAAGATTAAGGTGATGTAAGGTACGTACCTGAGCAGCAACGGTATGAGAACGAGTTGGGAAAAGCTTGGTGATGCAAGCTGTGTTGAAACCATGTTCTGATAGTCCTATCGCTGCTCTAAGCCCTGCACCGCCTGCTCCTACAACAACCGCATCATAGGTATGATCAACGATTGTGTAATCCCCTGTCTTTTGTCACAGAGCACACAAAACGATTTGAATCAGACAGCGTTAGGTAATTTTTAACCGAGCATTTAGAGATTGAAGCAAGATGATTCGAGATTATACTAAATAATAATGAATTAAGACGAAAAGAGAAAAAAATGATTATTAGGGCCAGAAATGATGAGTAACACACAAGAATCAAATGAAATCGAGGATACAGAGAAGAAAGGAGAATTCAGACAGTAAGTAATGTAGCCAATGTCCGTACCGAACGAGCTGAGAAGAATCTGGAGACTTGAGAACTGACGATAACGCCATTAGATTCCGATAGCCTCGACGACGACGGAAGTCGAAGGCGACGAGGCACACACCGCCACATCTCTCGCCGTCGTCACTACTCAGCACGTACTCGCTACGATGCTAAAATGGCATTTTGTCAACGCGAAGACTCCGTTTTTATAAATCGCCTAGACAAATTTGAAAATATTAGTGAAATCCCAAATTTGCCCCTAGACCTAATACTAGAGAACATTAAAATGCTCTCAACGTGCCATCATCACTAGTATATAAATATAATATCAACGGTGCAGGATACGCCACATCGTATGGACGCGATTAAAAGTCTTTTAAGCCCTTCGATCGTCTGCTCAAAATTTGACTATTGGGCTTTGTCACACGCAAAAGCCCATTAATAACAGCAAAAATGCATGCTTAGCCTTGGACGAAAGCAGTTCGTTGCTCTCTCTCACACAGGCCGGAAGAAGAAAGAGACATTGAAGATCGACGACTCGATTCAGAGAGAGAAAAGCTGATTTTGATTTCTTCTGTAGAGAGAAGTGTGTGTATGTGTGTGTGTGTGTGAGAGAGAGAGAGAGAGAGAGAAACATTCTGGAGGAATATCGATATACAGAGAAACTGAGATTTGAGGGAGAAAGAGAGAGATGGAAACGAGGGAGAGAGATCTAGACCGGCTGATTCCGATGCATAACTCCGAAGCTTCTCCTCGCGAGGCCGTTCTCTCTGTTCCTCCGTCTCCTCTCGCTTCGCCGATTCACGTTGCCGGAAGAGAGGTTTCTCTCTCTCTCTCACCTTTTTTTTTGGATCAAACGATTTTTATCGTCATCGTGAAATGTTCCGCAAGTTTATATGAATTTGTATATAGTTTACTTGTGTGTTAAGTTATTCCATTGTTTAATGTACAATGTACACAAACAGGCGATTTACAAAGTCATCCGAAGCTGGGCCTCCAAAAAGTTTATGACCGGATGGTAAAATCTCTCATCAGTTTCTGGGTTCGAGTTTCATAACTTTTGGGTTCAATGTCACACTTTCAGTTTCTGAATTTTCTGCTGTTTAACAGTGTCATTCTTCTTCCAATGGCCGTCACATTCTACTTCACATGGTGGTTTATTCATTTCGTCGACGGATTCTTCTCACCAATCTACACTCACCTCGGAATCAACATGTTCGGTCTTGGATTCTTGACATCAATCACATTCATCTTCATGGTTGGTGTGTTCATGTCTTCATGGCTCGGAGCATCAGTTCTCAGCATTGGTGAATGGTTTATCAAGAAAATGCCTCTCGTAAGTTACATCTACTCAGCTTCTAAACAAATCAGTGGAGCAATCTCACCAGGTGAATTTTCAATAAAAAATTTAGTCTTGCTTCACTTTAAGCTTAACCCTTTTTACAAATGATTATTCTCCTTTGATCAGATCAAAGCTCAGGTGCGTTCAAGGAGGTAGCGATCATCAGGCATCCGCATATGGGAGAATACGCTTTTGGTTTCATTACATCGACTGTGATTCTTCGAGGCCGTGCTGGTGGAGAAGAGCTCTGTTGTGTCTATGTCCCTACTAATCATCTTTATCTTGGAGACATTTTCCTCATTAGCTCAAAGGACATCATTAGACCTAATCTTTCAGTCCGAGAAGGCATAGGTAACTTGTAACTTGATCAAAAACCTCTCTGTTTCATATAAGAATCCATCTCATTGCTCTGTTACAACTTTTTTTTCTTTTCTGCAAACAGAAATCGTCATCTCTGGTGGTATGTCGATTCCACAGATGCTAACTACACAGGACGCAGAGACTATTCACATGACAGTAGGTGGAAGCTTTGCTATTCCACCAGTGTGAAGTCTATGAATCCTTTAACAATGGAGCCTCTGTGGTTAGGTTGACTTCAACATTTGCTAATCTCCAAAAATGTTGGAAAGTTTTGAACTCATAATGATATGTGAGTATGTGTTTAAGCCTTGTATTAGACTAGACTCTAAAGAATAACAAAGAGAATATTAAAAAAGATAGATTTGAAAGTGAATTTTTTAGTGTTCACCAATTTTTGACTATTTTGTCTTCTGCAAGAACATAAATCTTTTTTCATATATAATTTTAGTCTTTGTAATCAAATTCATCATAAGAAAACCATTGGATCTCTTCAAAACTTCTAATTCCTACTAAAAAATGAAGTATAAATCAATGCCTCAGTGTAACATCAAGAAACTGCAGAACAGAGAGACTTGTATGCATCAACGCAGAGCTTAAACTTCTCTTGCGCTGCAGCCTGAGATTATTTCACCACATTTACAGAAAACAATTTATCAACACGTAACTTCAAAAAACCTGAAACAATCCAACTTTTTGGTTTGAAAGACATACCTGAGAAGGCCCCTGGTGCTTATCAGGATGCCACTTCAAAGCCGCAGATCGAAAGCTGCAAGAAAAAAACAAGAAAACTTAGACGAACATATCTTTTTTAAAGAGATTTTTGGCATCTTCTAATAGAAAGAACTTACGCGTTCTTGACATCTTCTAGTTTTAGAGGACCACATAGAGGTAGACCAAGAACATTCCTCTCAGACCGAGACCCAACGGTCAAAGGTTCATCACAAGACTCATCGTTCCAGGTTTTGCTCCTTTGAGACTGAGTTGTCCAGCTCCAGCCTTCTCTCCATTCGAATCCCTGTGCCGAGTCCCTCGAGGAGGCTTTATGAGATTGGTTTGTCCAGCCTTCTCTCCATTTTTTCTCAAACGTACTATTAGTAGCATCAGCGCCAAATTCATCCTCAGTGTTTCCTTCTCTGTGCCAACCTAATATAACCAAACAAACAAAATGATATAGTAACGAAAGAAGCCAAAGAGTTGTGTGATGATACTAAGAAGAAGAGAGAGAAGAAAACAAACCCACGTTTTGTTTTCTTATCACGAGGCTTCTTTCCCCGGCCAGGTGGAGGTTTCTTCTTCATATGTCTATCTCTGGTAAGCGGATTTGGTCCGAAATGCCACTCATTCTACGTATAAGGAATCACAAATACATATAAACACTTGAGCAACCCCATACTAAAGACAAGAACCAAACCATAAGATCTGTACTGAAGAAAGTAGAAAATTTAACCTGAATCGGATCATTGATTCCACTGTGGAAGAGAAGATTGTTTAGAGTCTTTTTAGCACCAGTGCGTCTCCCTTTCTCCTTAACAGTACATGTGAACCTTATGGAGGAGTTCTGGGATCAACATTTTTTGCAGCTTCAGAGGAGAGCTTACTCTCTTATGAGTTTGAATAGATACACACAATAAATTACCACACACACACACACCAAACTCAAATTCAGGACAAGGCAAAGTTTCAGGTCTTGACATAAACATTCATTTAGCTGTAATGATCATTCCTCACAGAAAAGTATACTAATTTGCAAAATGCAAAACCCATTGGTTGTAATATGAGCTACATGACTAAATCATGTGATCCTAGACTTCAGGGAAAAGCAAACTCAGGAAACATTTTCGATATTCCTCAAGCTGATGATCATAGATTTACACAAATTCTTATTTTTGATTCCAGAAAAAATGAATCGTCCGATAAATGCATCGATCCTAAGTCAAAGTTGACATATTTTTGTGTTGCTCGTTAAATTTTAATTGGCGCACATACCTTTGAAGATCGTTCGCTTTCAGAAGTTGTACCACCCTGCGAAAAGAAAACACAAATCAATCTTCAGGGCATCAAACGTTTAATTACCCAGATTCAATGATGGGGCTGATAATCTTTGCAGAGATATGGATCTTACGGAGCCAAAGCTTTTCCTGGATTTCTCAGACAAAACACTCGTCGAATGAATTGAAGCGAAACGGGTTTTCGTAGCCGAAGATGATGAAGATTCTAAAATCGAAGAGCTTCTCAGAGATAAGAGACTTCTCCATCTTTGCATCGTGAAATTTTTGGAAACAGGAGGGAAATTGAGAGGATTTCGAGGAAGAAAAAGAGAGACGACGGAGAGAAGTGAGCGAGAGAAAGGTCAAGCGATAAGAGGCGTGGAGAAGAAAAAGGTTTTTTTTTTAAACCGGACCGGTTTAACCGGGTTCCCTATAAATACTCTGGTTCGGTTTAAATTCGGTTTGAGAAATAGTCAACAAAATTCAATTTGCGAGGAGGGAACAATTCATTTCCGGTTCATCAAGAACAGCATAAGGCCAAAAAAAATTAAAAAGCTTGTCACTTCAACAATCCAAAAATCCAACAATATTAGAAGGTTCGTGTGTTTGAGAATGGAATCAAATCAAAACAAAATAAAAATCGAATCATATACGTAGGGAACAATCTAAAACATAACAATGGTATTGCTTTTAGCTTATACATATGCATGGTTCTAGTCACAGAACCCTCGAAAAATCCAATCTTTTATCATCGATCTCACTGATGAGGAGTATGACTTTTAGTTCCAATCTCTCGTGAATCATTACTAGACGATCCGTCATTATCACTGCTTTGGAACTCTTGGCTCGACAAAGCTATCTGTCTGAATTTCTTCATGTCTGCGTTGTAAGATATCTGACTATAATCCGAGCTTGTTCCCGATGTCCCGTATATGTTGCTTTGTCCTGGCTTCACACCTTCGTTCAAAGCATCCAGTGACACTTCTCCTTCTAATGCTCTTACTATCTGAAAACACACACACACACAAAAACAGAAACACTTTTTGTTATTATAAATTATCTAACAAAACAAAAAAAGATTTTTAGGGTTTTATAATTTTGATTTACCTGACTCATCTTAGGGCGTTTACGTCCAGAATGGCGAATGCTAGCAGCAGCACAAGTCACCATTCGAGCCATTTCTTGCGGACTGTAGTTTCCTTCAAGCCTTGCATCTGCGAGCTCATTAAAGTTTCCATCTTCTAACGCACGAACCATGATAGGACGAGCCTATATTTGTACGTAATCAAATGCAATCATTAGTACACAATGCTTATAAGTATAGGAAGAGTGAAACATAAAACATGCAAACGTACCCAATCTACTAAAGTGTCGTCCATGGTGCTGCTAGTATCATACGGTCGCTTTCCAGTGATTAGTTCCAATAACATGACGCCGAACGAGAAAACATCGGACTTCTCTGTTAATTTACCGCTAGATGCATACTCTGGAGCTAGATATCTACACACACATGTTTGTATATAGAAGCATATTGGTTAATCTACAAAGGTTATGTTTCTTGAGTGACAAGAATGATCTTATAGAGTAAAACACGCTATGTTGTGTTTCTTGAGTGGCAAGAATGATCTTATCGAGTTAAAAAAAAACGCTTAATTACCCGAAAGTTCCCATCACACGAGTAGATACATGAGTATTGTTATCAGTAGTTAACTTAGCCAATCCGAAATCAGCCACCTGAAAAAAAAGAAAACGAAAATGTAAAAACTCATCATCAGCTTTAACAATGTCGTCTTAACATAAACTAATTTATCACCATTGCATCAAAGTTAAAGTCCAAGAGAATGTTTGCAGACTTGATGTCACGGTGAATGATCCGAGGATGGCCTGCCAAAAAATAATAATATTACTAGTCAGAGACAAAGCTTTCTCAACATTGCATGAGATTGATGAATGTTGAAACTTACAATCTTCATGAAGGTAAGCGAGTCCTTTCGCAGAACCTAAGGCTATACGCATCCTGGTTGAGAAATCCATTACCGGAAGATTCTTCCCTGAAACAACAACAACAAAGGTTATACAACTTTCTTGAATCTATAGATACTAGAGAAAACATTTGAAGTTAAAGTGTCTAACCATGAAGATGATATTCCAAAGTATTGTTAGGAACAAACTCATAAACCAACATTCTCTGTCCATCAGCTATGCAATATCCAACCAAAGAAACAAGATACCGATGATGCACACGGCTAATGATATCAACCTCAGCTTGAAACTCTCTTTCTCCTTGTCCGCTACCGGATTTCAAACTCTTGACCGCGACTTCTTTCCCGTTAGGCAACACGCCTTTATGGACGTACCCGAATCCTCCCTGTCCCAAGAGGTTAGAATCCAAAAACCCTCCAGTCGCAGCCGCGAGCTCTTGGTAAGTGAAAGTGCTTTTGTTGAATCCGAGTGCTAGAGCAGGTGAAGGAGGAGGTAAAACCGGGCGTGCCGGGCCTGAATACAAGGATGAATCATCTCCACTTGTGGGCATACGCGGAGGAGGAGGAGGCGGTGATGGTCCACCGCCTCCCCAACCACCAGGAGGTTGTTGGTTTTGGCCTTGGGAGTTTATGTGCCAATTTGGATAATTCTGTGAAGCATTGTTGTTGTTGTTGTTTCCATAGTATTGATATTGATTCCCTGTGACAATATGAAAAATACCGAAACTTTTGATACAAACATAACACATAGTGTGTGTGTGTGTGTAGATAGTTACCTTTCATGGAGTCAGCGTAGAAGTTATCTTTTCTCTTCTTTTTTCTTCTAAGACACACAACAATAAGCACAATCATCAATAGTCCAGCTCCAACTAATACACCTACTATGATCGCTGTATTCGTATTATTTCCTCCTCCTCCACTGCTACCACCGGTAGACGGAGGATTGTCGGAGCTAGAGCCGCCATTGTCTCCCGATCTGCTACCATTGTTATCTCCACTCCTAGAAGGTGGAGAAGGAGGGGAGCCACGTGACGGTGGGGGATTGTTACCACCGTCATTCCCTGTTTCTCCTCCTCCCGCTCTCGGTGGAGGAGGAGATTTATTGTTGGAATTGGGAGGAGAAGGAGTTTGTGGAGCTGGTGGAGATGGTGGAGAGGTGGGATCAGGAGGTGGAGGCGACAAGTCTCCTTGCGTAGGAGAAGGAGGAGAGGGAGACGGCGGAGAAGAGGAGGTTGAGTTGGAATTAGACGGTGGAGATGGAGAAGAGCTTGAATTTGACGGAGGAGGAGCAGATTCAGGGGAAGAAGCCATCCGAGAGGAAGAAGAGGAAATAGAATCTCTCTGTCTTCTCTCCCTTAATCACTCAAATTATCTGAGAACAACAAACAATAAAAAAAAAACAGATCATAATCAAAATCGTGTTATGTTCGTTAGATCGCTAACAATTAAAAACAAACAGAGTAATTGCTAAACTTGAGAGATTTAATACAAAAACTAGCAAGAGATTAGTACCTTAAAGGAAGAGATTAAGGGCAGAGAGAGAGAGAGAGAGATGAGGATTGCAGGAGAAGGAAAGAAAGAGAGTTTTGGGGGCATTTGGTAAGAAAATGATTATAGGAAGAAGGAGAGAAAAGAAGATTGAGATTTGCTCTGTCTTCATTCCGACAAACATGCCTTTTCTCTCTCAATCTCTGTCTTAATAACAGTTTTTTTTTTTTGTTAGTTGCTGATTGTAATAATCTCCAGTCTAATTATTCTTATTTTGGCACCGTGGTGTTAGGAGCTAACTCGCTAAGGATGTTGATTCAGTTCCACGTAACCCCATGCATTTTTTTCTTACCTTTTATTAGGAGGATCTCGAGTTTAATTTGGCCCGTTCGATCAAATCACACCTCAGATTCTCTCACTTCGATCTAACAAACTTACGAAAAAGAAACAATTTCAGTTGGTGTGGGGAGAAATTGTTAAAGCAACCCCTTACATTTGGTCAAAATATTAAAGAAAACTGAAACTTTTTGGGTTTTAAAAAACGGAAATTGTGTTTTATCAGATGTAACATAGTCTCTATAATAATAATATTTACAAATTTAATCATGAAACCAAACAATTTTTTTATATAAAAAACGTAACTTGACCTGCATCAAGGAATTGAATTCGTTCAACAAATACCACCGAGTTAGCTATATGCTGCTATTGTTGTTCTGTTATTAATTACCATCTTGTTTTTCAAAGTACTAAACATCACACCCTTCTTTTCATTAAACTTGGTTTGAAATTTATATTAGGATTTTGATATCTCTATGTTGGGAATATTGTAGGTATAGATTTTTGGATTTACAAAAGTTCAATAATTTTCTTGCATTCTAGTCTGCGGTTGAGAATGTGTTGCACAATCTTGCAGAAGTAAAGGCAAGTTATAAGAGTTTTTCATCTAATCTAGAGCGGACAGATATGCGAGTTCTTGAATTTAAAATCACATAAATCATTTGTAGATATTATTGTCTTCAGATTTAGGTAATGATATTCCAGCAAAAGTGATGAAGATCGAGTAAGTGTATTTATGTGCATTTGATTCTAAGGTTGTTCCTTGATTTTAAGAATTTATCAACGTTATGTGCGTTATGTCTTTAAGAATTTATCATGAATCTGACACTGTTTTTACTATATTTTTTTAAGGTAATTATTTTTTATATCATAGCTATATCATATTGCATCGTCATAAACTACATTTTTTATCATATTATGAAATCTTCGGTACAAGAAATGCACATCTTACATGATGAATGTCAAATGAAGTTTTAACCATGATAAATCTTCTCAAAACAACTAGTAATAATGCAAAGTTATAATATGAAAACTTTGGAGAGAGCATTCATCGTGGATTAAACTGTTAAGCTTATCTTGGATGGTCTTCTGCGTGAACTTATACGAGAGCTCCTGGCCACATTGTTGTGATAGCTGGGGAAAGAGAGATTTTTTTTTTGACACCACTCTGCATATGAGACGACACTGGTTTTAAAGAGCAATTGCTCATAAATTTTAAAAAATCAATTGAACATCATTGTAGACTCCTTACAAACAAACACTTAGGAAGAAAAAATTGCAACAGAATACAACGTAAGTTTTACTATGTTTTTCAAGGTAATTATTTTTTTGAAGACTGCAAAGGCGGGCAATACATGATTTACAACTGTGATCCAAAAAAATAATTAGAAAAGAAAATAAGATCAACAAAATTAATAATTAAAAACTTAAAAAGAACAAAAGATAATAAAATTTTGTATTTTCCGCCAGTCAATTTTTCCCAAAATAAATTATTAGGCGTAAAATTTATGAGTGTTTAAACTGCATCAGATTTGTAAGAGAATAGCAGTAAATCCATTATTGGCCAGCTTCTTAATTGCTTGTATCAGTTATATGTAATCGTAATCGCAGTCTCAAGTGGAACGGCCCATTCAGAAAGAAAAAGTTCAAGACAAGAAAATCATTAATGTTACATATAGCAGGCCTAAACCAAGATATGTTCTTTAGTTGCTTTTGCAAATGGATTTTTCAAGTGAAAAGGCTTTAAATGTTGCTTGTTTATTGTAGGCCATTTTGCAAACATGCAAATATTTCCACCAAATCAAGGAGACAATGCTAAGGGTTATCAGCTCCTGAGAGCTCCACATGTACATATACTCCTTTTGGCTTTGTTTTTTTAACAACATATAAATTTATAAATTTGAGTTTTTTTTCTTCAGGATTTTAGTATCTAGTTGAGATGGAGTTAAAAAAAATATTTGTAACCCTAAAAACAAAAAATGAAAGCAGAAAGGGAAATTTCATTTGATTCTGTATTTACATGTACATATCAGAGAACACCCAAAAAAATATCATCCTTCTCGAAGGTGTAAGTAGATAGGAACAAAGAGAGTTTAATGTTCCTTCTAACTTTGTAGTTGTTAAGACCATTCAATGTCTTAGACTAGTTATGAATACTATTACTCATCCTTCTAGTTCTTATTGTACTTTTGCTGGTCACCGTTCAATGCTTTACAAACTGTGAATATTATTTGATAATGAGATTTGGTCCCCACGCATAACTGTGTATATATATCTAAGCTTCTTCAGATCTTTTACACAGCAGCAAACAATGTCAATCTTCCTCTGTTTCCTCTGTCTCTTACCCATTTTCTTGCTTTCCTTATCAATCTTCTTCTCTAAAGATCTCAAAAGATGGAAGCTTCCTCCGGGGCCGAAGACGCTTCCGATCATCGGAAACTTACACAACGTCAAAGGATTGACTCACATATGTTTTCGAAACCTCTCCCAAAAGTTCGGACCAGTGATGCTTCTCCGTTTCGGATACGTTCCCGTGGTCGTGATCTCGTCGAGAGAAGGAGCAGAGGAAGCTCTCAAGACCCACGACCTTGTATGTTGCAGCCGACCAGAGACTGTCGCCACAAGAATGCTCTCTTACAACTTCAAAGACATCGGATTCGCGCCTTACGGTGAGGAATGGAAAGGGTTAAGGAAGCTCGTGGTTATGGAGCTCTTGAACTCGAAAAAGCTCAAGTCCATGAAGTATATTAGAGAGGAAGAGAACAGCTTTCTGGTCAAGAAACTGAAGGAGTCTGCTCTGACGCAATCCCCTGTGAATCTGAAGAAGGCCCTTTTCACGCTCATCGCTAGTATTGTGTGTAGGCTCGCGTTTGGGATAGATATTCACAAGTGCAAGTTCATAGATGAGCACAACGTTGCGGATCTAGTTCACAAGTTCGAGTTGCTCATCGATGGTTTCGCGTTCTCTGACTTCTTCCCTGGAGTGGGTTGGCTTATCGACCGGATCTCCGGCCAGAACAAGACACTGAACGATGTTTTCTTGGAGTTGGACACATTCTTCCAAGATGTGCTCGATGATCATCTTAATCCCGGAAGAAGAGTATCAGAGAGCCCTGATGTCGTTGATGTGATGGTTGATCTGATGAAGAAGCAAGAGAAAGATGGAGACTCATACAAGCTCACCACAGATCATTTCAAAGGAATCATCTCGGTAAAAATCTTCTTTCTAGACTTAAACAATTTCTTCAAAGGATTCATTTTGAGATTCTGACTGAACTTTGCGAGGTCTGTGAATGTGTCAGGACATATTTCTAGCAGGAGTAAACACAAGCGCCGTGACTCTGTCCTGGGCGATGACAGAGCTGATCCGAAACCCGAGAGTGATGAAGAAAGTACAAGACGAGATTCGGACATCGCTCGGGGACAAGAAGGAGAGAGTCACAGAAGATGATCTCACTCAGCTTCACTACTTGAAGCTCGTGGTCAAGGAGACATTCAGATTACACCCAGCAGCTCCACTTTTGCTCCCAAGAGAGACAATGTCTGACATCAAGATCCAAGGCTACGACATTCCCGCTAAAACCCAGATGATCATCAACATCTACTCGATCGCACGCGATCCAAAACTCTGGATAGACCCAGATGAGTTTAATCCTGAAAGGTTTCTCGACAGCTCCATAGATTACAAAGGACTAAACTTTGAGCTTTTACCGTTTGGTTCTGGCCGGAGAATCTGTCCGGGGATGATGATGGGAATCGCCAACGTGGAAATGGGACTGTTGAATCTGCTCTACTTCTTCGATTGGGGATTGCCTGAAGGGAAGACTGTGAAAGACATCGACTTGGAAGAAACCGGATCGATTATTGTCAGCAAAAAAGCAACTCTTGAGCTTGTTCCATTTCTTCGTAACTGAAATCACGAATCACGATCATGAAACAAAAAGTTATAATGATTTTTGTACTGATTTTTGATTTTCAATTTTTATTATTATAATAAGATCATCTATCTGAAAAACAAGAGCGACAGAAACACAAAACACTCTCTGTTTAATCTCCACACAGGAATTTTCACAAACAGCTGGTGATCAGCAATGGGTTTTCGCACACAGAAAATAAACATCTGTTTAATAATCCTATGGTCTTACAAGAGACTGGGCATAGAACAAGAACATGACAACAAAGAAATGAATAAGAAGAAGAAGAAAACACTCCAAGAAAGTCTCTACCAAGAAGATGATCTCTCTCTCTTCATTTTTGAATTCCTCTGTTTTTCCCCCCTCCAACAACAAAGCCTGTAATAAACTTGGGCCTACTATATAGATACTGAGGTGCAGCTTCCTTTTACTCTCAAAGCCCATTTGACTTGTTAACCGAGATTAAGCTAAACTGAGTACCAAACCAGCTTCTAATTGAATCCGGTTATACAGATAGAGTCACCTAACTAGTAACTACATGGTGTTGTGTCCAACGACAAGTTTTATGTATATTTAGACCAATCCCAATGGTAATTTTTGGGTATGAAGTGTTCTTAATAATAAAACTGAATAAAAAATAATGAATAGTATTTTATTGTTTAGATTGGTGTCTAAATTTAAACATAATGTCTAAATTAAAAATATACACGTGGCAAGTTGGGAGCGGACGATAGAAAATTCCAGTTTCTGAATTACACTTCTATAATTTATATATTTTCATGTATTACATTTTTAAAAATGTATTATGTTTTAAAAATTGTTAACAAATTTTTTTACTTAAATTTATTTAAATATATATATATATATATTAAGACACCTATCAAAAGTATCTCAATTATATGCTATAAAAACAACAAAATACTACAAATTATCTTATATACATAAAATACACAAAATATTAATAATTAATCAATAAAATCACACTAAAAATGTCTCTATTGAGCTTGCTCTTACTAACTTCCCGAAGACAATTTAGATTGTGACGTCCACTTCTTCAAGATCTAAGAAGAAATGAATAATACTAAAACAAATATGAATTCTACATAAATTATGTTTGTTGTCGAAGATTTTTTTTTTTTTTTGTCTTTCGAAAAATTAAAGGATAACAAGTTTGCTCCCTTGCATTGTCTACTGTAATGTTGATGCAACAAGAAATTTGAAATATTTTGAAAAAAATTATTATTTACTTGTATATCTAGATAATTACCTTCTATTGTTTTAAAGTTTTTTTTAGGTTGGTGATTTATGAAATCTTTCGTTATTAAATCTTTCATTCAGTTTTTGATGATTTAATAGTGAAAGATTTCATAAAGAGTTTTTGATAATGCATACAAGATTATTTTTAAACCCTAATTTTCAAGTATTTTTAGAATAAACAAATTTCTAAATCTCCCAAGACCCACGTCATGGTAGGTACTCTTAGACTATTACAAATTAAAAAAAAGACTCATATGATGAACAGTACTTTTTAAAATAGATCCAACGTAGCATATAACATATAATATATATATATATATATGTATATGTACAATCCATAAAACCAGGCACTAGATTTTAAGTTCAAATATATTGAATTAAAATTCACAAATGCACAATCTTGAAAGGACTCAAGAGCTCACTAGTCCACTAGTCCAAGACCCACCTGGTCTATTCCCAAGACCCACATGGTACTCTTAGACTATTACATTTGAAAATTAGACGCATATGATGAACAGTACTTTTTAAAATAGACCCAACATAGCATAACATATAATATCTGTTTATGTACAATCCATAAAACCAGGCACTGGATTTTACGTTCAAACTAGGTTTTGGATCCGCGCACTTGCACGGATTTTTTTATAAAATATTTTTAGGTCATAGCAAAAAACGGTTTATAGTAAACTTTTGTTCAAAAGAAAAATTAGTTTATATTATTAAATCTAAAATTGTGGCCCAAACAGAAATTTTTTTATTAGATTATATAAACTATTTTAATATTATGATTTATGTTCTTAAAATTATTTAGGCTTGATTTTATAAAAAAATATATATTTTGATTAGCAGATTTTTTGTTAAGTTTTGTAATAAATATTTTAAAATATTATGTTTTATAATGCAAGAGAGATTTTATTTGTTTGTAATTAAGATTCTTAGGCTTTGTTTATTTTTACCTCCAGATACTTATTTGGATGCAAATGCTCTCAAATATTATTCTTTTAAATATTTTTAAATCAGTATATGGATATTTTATCTGAATACAAATTTTATAATATCTCAAAATTTGAATATTTAAAATGTTAAAAATAAAGATTTGATGCAGCATTTGAATCTTAAAAATTAACAGATAAAAACATCCTTTAATTTAAACCATAAAATCAAGTTTTTTTTTGTCAAAACCATTTTTTTCTATCGAAATAAAAAACCGCATTTTCCCGCAAAATCGTAAAATCACGTTGTTGTACCAAAACTAAAAATTCGGGTAAAAACTGTAAAAATAGCATTTTCCATCAAACCGTATTTTCCTGTCAAATCTGTAAACCCATATTTTTTAACAAAACCAAAAATTATATTTTTCCCCAACACCATAAAATCGTATTCTATGGCTAAATTTCTAAAATTAAGTAGTTTTTGTCAAACTTGCAAAATTACATTTTGTCGTCAAACCCGCAAACCTACATTTTCAATAAAATCCATAAAACCACATTTTTCCATCAAAACTTATAAAACCCGTAAAAACATGTAAACCTCGTAAAACCAGCAAAATCACGTTTCCCGCCAAATCCACACAAACCGTATTTTTCTGTAATATTATAAAATGTATAAATTGTGTTTTTCGACCAAATTTCTAAACTCATGTGTTTCTGTGAGACTCACAAACCCGCATTTTCATGTATGACTATATTTTTTTGCTAGAACATGTAGAACCCATAAAATCCGCAAAATTGCGTTATTCATATTTTGCAAACCCGTGTTTTTCCGTAAACCCCGTAAAATCTGCAAAATCATGATTTACGACCAAATTTTAAAAATTATGTGTTTCTGCTAAATCTACAAAATCACATTTGTTTTCAAACCGGCATTTTCTCAGAAAACTATATTTTCTGCTAAAATTTATAAAACCCGCTAAAATTTGTAAAACCCGTAAAATCTACAAAATTGTGTTTGTCAAATCCGCAAACCCATAATTTTCCGCAAAAAATTATTAACAAACCAGAAAAAACTAAATTATTTACATAATATTTTTTTCATAGTATGTATATATGTAACAAAAAGATAATGATTATATATTCATCATTGACTATAAATTGTCACATTTAGTAAATTCTATAATAATTTTTAGACATTTTAAAGTAATGCTTTTCTTTTAATACTATAGAGAAGAAATTGATTATAATATAATATATATTTAATTTATCATATAATATATATAATTATATTACTTATTCATGCCATATATATGTGATAGTTATGTTAAAATATTATGAAAGATTTTAAAATAATTTTAAATTTAAATTAATTTGAATTTTATTAATATCAGACATAATTTATTGGTATTATCTGTTAACAAATTAATTTAATTTAATGTATTTGTTAGCAGTTTAATGATAAGACTAAATTACTCTTAATGAATTTATAGACATTTAATGGCATATATTGTAAATAACACAGTATCTAAAGGTTAATTTAAAAATATGATCCTCTTTTAATAGTACATATATGTTCAAAATTTTACCTACACTCTTTTGTAATTTGCTAATAGCAACTTAACAAGTTGTTATTTTACTTAAACAAACAATACATAAATTTCATGTAAACTCAACGAGTCACCTGCTTACAAATCAAACCTTATAGTTATATATGCCGAATCACGCCAAATTTATTATTCTATATAACAAATATACTGTATGATAATCAAATCTGATTACTGTCTCTCTTAGTTTTAATCTCACAAATGCACAATCTTGAAAGGACTCAAGAGCTCACTAGTCCACTAGTCCAAGATCCACCTGGTCTATTCCCAAGACCCACATGGTACTTTTAGACTATTACATTTGAAAATTAGACGCATGTGATGAACAGTACTTTTAAAAATAGATCCAACATAGCATAACATATAATATCTGTTTATGTACAATCCATAAAACCAGACACTAGATTTTAAGTTCAAATATGTTCAAAATTTTACCTACACTCTTTTGTAATTTGCTAATAGCAACTTAACAAGTTGTTATTTACTTAAACAAACAATACATAAATTTCATGTAAACTCAACGAGTCACTTGCTTACAAATCAAACCTTATAATTAGATATGCTAAATTTATTATTCTATATAACAATATACTGTATGATAATCAAATCTGATTATTGACTCTCTTAGTTTTAATCTCTATATTCCGTCCCGATCTATCACCACGAGCATTTCCACCTCCAAAAAGCTTTTCCATCTCCTCCAATGGCAATCCTTTCGTCTCCGGCAACATAAAGAAGAAGAACCACCATGCCGCCACCGCGATTCCAGCGAACACGAAGAACGCACCGCCCGTTGTGATCGCCTCTGTCATCGACAGAAAACTCATTGAGACCGTCGCGTTCATGATCCTATTAACCGCAACGCCTATGCTCGATCCCTGAGCCCTAAGTCTTAATGGGAATATCTCCGAGCTGTACACCCACGTGATTGGCCCAAGCCCGATCGAGAAAAACGCTACGAACACGTACGTCGAGACGATGCTCAACCCCAACGCCCACACTAACCGCCCAAAACGCTGAACCATCGTCAGACTAACAGCTAAACTGGTCAACGCTAAAACCATACCACCCGTGCTTGTCAAGAGAAGCTTTCTCCGACCTACCTTGTCCAGCAAGAAAGTAGCTACTATTATGAAAACGGTCTTAGTTAAACCTACACCAACCGTAGCGAGTAAGAGCTTGTCTTTCGTAGTTACTCCGGCTTTCCTGAAAATCCTCGGGCTGTACAACACCACGGCCTCGATTCCGGTGGCATGCTCGAAAAAATGTATCCCCACGGCTGCGATCAAGATCAAACGCACCGCTCGTCTCGGTTTTATCAACAGCTCTCTCCACACGCTTTTGCCTTGATTCTTCTTCACGCCGCCGCCAACCGCTTTAAACGCTGTATCATCGTCTATTTCCGCAGCGGTTAACATGTCCCGGAAGCGTTCCTCGGCTTCTTCTTCGGTGTTGGATACCAAAACCATGATTTTCTTGGCCTCCTGTAACCTACCTTGCATCACAAGCCACCTCGGAGATTCAGGCATTTTCAAAATCCCGAACGCCAAGATCAAAGAAGGGATCGCTGCGATTCCAAGCATCAATCTCCAACCGAGTTTCAATGTCAGTTTCCCGAAAAAGTAATTCGAGACATAGCCTAGTAAAATCCCGAGACTGATACAAAGCTCAGGGAGAGAAGTAAGAAAGCCTCTATGTGAAGCAGAGGATATCTCGGCGGAATAAACCGGCGCTATCATTAGAGCAAACCCTACACCAACTCCGGCGATACATCTTCCGACCATCAAAACGGCGTAGTTTGGGCCGTAGCCCATAAGAACCGAGCCCACTAAGAATATCACGGAGGAGAGAGCAATGGTGTAACGTCGACCGATGATGTCAGACGTTTTTCCGGCCGTTAAAGATCCGACGAGAGCACAAAGATTCAGTATTCCCATCAAAACTTCTATCTGCGTATCGTTTATTTTCAGATCATCTCTTATAAATATCTGAGCTCCGCTCATAACCCCCGTATCTAAGGACAAACACAATAAATAAAGACAAAATAATCATAAGATTTATAAAAAAACAAAATATATATACTATTAATGCATGTGTAGAATTGATTTACCATATCCGAAGATGATTGAAATGATGGAAGCAACGATTGCACACCCGAAAGCGAATTTGTTCATATGGGTCGGGTTTGGATCTGCCCCGGGTAGATTATGACCACCAGCGTGAACCATGGTGAGATTTTTTAATCTCTTCTCCTTTTTTTTTTTGTTTTTCTATTTGAATATTAGAAATAGATTATTGTATCGATCATGTGCCCTTTCATAGTATTTATTTATAAGCATTCGCATTCACACTCCTAGTCCCACACATGAAGACTCGTCACTTTCTCGGTTCACCACTTGGCACTTGCATCTTTAGTGGAAAATGACGATCAGAAACTTCAAAAGTGTTAGTGGCGTCCCACATATTCTGTCTGGTACGATAATTTGATTTATGTATTTTCGTAGCTAACTTAAGATTTATTTACCTTAAAGGAGAAGTAGAAGAAGCAAAAATCGAAAAGAATTAATACAATGTTTTAGCCAGTCCTGCAACATCTGCAATTGGATTTAATAAAAACATTAATTATAAGAAGTAGTTTAATATATATTTGAAAATGCATATCTGTACGCCGTTATCCCTTATATATAAAACCGAAAACACTCAAAATGTTTTATTAACGACATGAAATATCATCGTCATCATGTGATAGCGGTAGTTAGATTTGCCATTTGTAAACAGTAGATCATAATTTATAATATGGTAATATCAAAGATCAATTTATGATGTACAAATCATTTTATACAAAACATTTGAAAATGCATATATTTACTAATTAGTACAACTCCCTTTATTTTCTTGAGCTATCTTCTTATTCACTTATCGGCATTTTTCCTAGTATATGTTGAAGAGTGATATAACCTTTAAAGATTCTTTTCCCTATTTACATAACTTGGTGCACTACTTAAATGTATAAGGTGCAATTTTGTTAAATCTGATCACACGGTTAATTCCGATTAGGGCTGCAGTTTCAGCTTCTATTTAGGTCTAGATTTGTGGGTCCAATCAGTTATTGTAAACCTTGGGTTGTATTTATATTTTTGTTCTCCCTTATCTCTATTGATAAATCAGTCTCATTTGGCGTTGTCACCAACGTTGATATAACTTGTTAGTTTCGTTTCTCATATTCGTTTTTGTTCTTCACATTCATCACAAGATAAAAAGTCTAATTTGATTTCGTGAAACATACTTGGAAGCCTTAAAAATAAAGATAAGTATCGCAAATAGTTTTGAACATACTATATAATGAAAACTATACCAAAAATATATATTAAAAACTATACTCAAATAACTGCATATTGCATACTTTTTCACTTTTTGAGTGGATAAGTCACTATCATATATCAAAAACCGAACGAGAGTCATACTAACTCGCAAGAAATTAATAGTATGAGGTTAAATGAATTTGTTGGGTGATCAATGATTCATTCAAGCACGTTTTCACGATTCAATATTGTCTACATGTGAACTTAATCTGTTTGAATTACTTTTCTTTTTAACCCAATGATCTTTTTGGTTTATTAGACTAGGTCTGATCAATCTGCTAGAGTTAATTAGTTACATGGATCTAAAGTTCGATCCCACATGAGAAATCAATATGACAGATCAATCATATATTTTGGTCAATGCTAAAAAGAGAAATCTTCTGGAAGATGAGAAAGAGAAATTCAAAGTGAACTTGTGAGTATTAGTTGGGATCGATTTGCTCGACACAGCCGGAAAGATAAGTTTTGGGGACTTTCCGATACAATTGATAACTTGGGCAGGTCTTATTTCTCTTTACTTTATTCATTTCTTTTCTACTGTTTTCAAGAGTTTCAAGAAAAAATATTTAATTAATGCCATTCTTAGTTTTAAAATTTTAGCCATTAATTAGAACAATATAAATAAAATATGCATTTGACTCTTTCTTTTCTGGTTCTTAGATTTTACTGCTGATATATTTTTTTTAATCCAAATGATATATATATATATATATATATATATATATATATATCCTGGTTAAAATTAAGAATGATATCAATTAATTTTTGTAGTCTTTTGGGTTTGAGTGTTTTTGGATATTTAGCTTTTTATTTTTATTTTTATTCTGAGAAAAATAACTTTGAATACTTTCTACGACAGATATAAACGTAAGGCAAAAGGCAAACGCAAGGCAACATTCACTCGCATGTTTCCACGTTGTTTTAAAAATTTTCTTTACTTTATTAGTTATTTATAACCAAAAGTTTCAGTAGTTTGAAATAGTTTAAAATATATAAAATCAGTTAACGAACCTATTTGAATAACATATTATAATGAAAAATTAGCAGATATGACTTATCATATCTTATTCAACATATATGAATGACATGTACTCTGTTCAAAAAAGAAATGACTATACATGTACGTAACAATAAAACTAACAAACCTGATAATACAAGTATTTGTAATTTTTAAAATAACTAATTGTGGTGTCATGATTGAGAATTTGCAGTGTTCTTCGAAGTTAGGGATAAAATTTTCATCACTTCTTATTATTTATAACAAGAAAAAAAAAATTCATCTATTGTTTATAACAAGAAAAAGTTTCATCTATCGTTTTCTATGTAGGTCACACTGTACACATCTTTAATTTAGTTGGCACAAATTGCAGATTTTTATTGAATCTGGTACAAAATTGACATGATTATATATACAAAAATATTGTAGGGCGATATGTGAAAAACTAAAAATTAATAATAAAAAAAAAACATATCGTGAGTGGAAGCAAAATGATGGACGCACATTTGGAATGAAACGGAGGCCATCAAAATTGGCCAAACTATTTGTTGGTATGATTAGTTGTAGCATGGTCATTGAGTTCTTGAAAATGTTGGAACTCTATTATTTTTTTTATTTTTTTTATAGAGTTCACATCTAACAAGTAACATTTTCGAATTTCTTTGAAAACAGAAATCATATTTATGTGGAAATTAAAAGTAGAAAAAAATCGAGGAAAAACGCTCTCAGGCCCATTTCCCAAAAGAGTTTTGACCTATCTGGTTTTCGTCCTTTTTTTAATATCTACCCGGTTTTTCTCAAAATAGAAAATTGATTTCAAGCTTTACCACATCTGGTCTCGCGCCACCGCGGTTCTACCCCCGACGACCGTCGGAGGGTCTGTCCCTGCACCACCGGTAAGTATTTTTGAGTCCCTTGTTAGCCAACCGAGAATCCGCATACCATCCAAAGGTCTCCTTAATGGAATTACAAACAAAAGAACCAAACCTCTTGCTTTCAACCTCCTGATGAACGTCTCAAGCCGCTGGTCTAGTCCACCTAGTCTATACCAAGCTCACTCAAAGTCCTGCTCCAACAAACAAAGCAACAAATCTCTCTATACTTGCAAAGGATCCTAGTTTTCCTCAAACCCTGGACAAACCCTGCTACTGGCAAAACATCTCAGAAAAGCTCCAAAAAATACTATCTCTCTCAGCAACGACAACCACTGAAGCACCTTCCCACACATCTCAAACTTTGCTAGATGCCGCGCCGATTCACGTACGTGGAAAAGGGCAAATCCATTGCGATGGAAGCAAGCCCACCGCCACGACTCCGAGTCAGGATCCCCGAGTTTGACAACTCATATCTGATTCGAGACAACAAACTCACATTGGTGGGAAGACTTACAAATCCCAAGGAATAAAACATGTGGTCGATGATACCTTTCCTAGCAAGAAGGTAGACGTTACAAGGCAGAGCCATAGGCTCAGATCTGGGAAACGACTGCTTCCAGTACAGATTTGACTACGGAGAAGATCTGGAAAAAGTCCTCGACAACAGACCATATCACTTTGGACGATGGATGATCATCCTCCAACGCTGGGAACCTACTGTCTCGGCCTCCTTCCCCTCGGACATTCCCTTCTGGATCCGTCTCAAAGGCATTCCCCTGCACTATTGGAAAGAAGAAACTCTAATAAGTTTAGGAAGTGGAATAGGCAGCTACGAAAAGCTAGAACTCACCAAGACATCAGCAAAGATTCGGGTGACGGTCAACGGCCTACAACCTTTGATAAAAGAAACCCTTCTGGAATTCTCGAATGGTGATGAAGCTGCGGTCTTCCTTGAGTACGAATGACTAGAGAAACATTGCACCATCTGCCACCGCCTAACCTACGAGAGGCAAGACTGCCCCCACATCACTAAGGATATTACCATCAAGAGGCAATCACCTACAAAAGAAGCACGAAATGTGAGACAACAAAGCTCGAGACCCTCAAGACAAGACGAGGATCGTAATAGTCGACAACCAAAGGAACTGCAGGACGAAAACAACAATGCAGACTACGCATACCAGAGAAGAGTGGAGAAACCAAGATCTTCCCCAAGACGTTCATATCAAACTACTTCAAACCAAATCGCTGGCTCGCGGAACTATGGGGATGCAGTAAAAGGAAGGGAAAGCAGCAGAGGAGAGTATCGCCGATCCCCACCGAGATCTGCACACCCGCAAACAGAGACAAGGCATTACCGAGCAAGGGATAGCCAAAGCTACAGAACTGAGTACAACAAGAGACAAGAAAAACCACTGCTGAGCAGAGATCAAAGAAGTGAGAATAGAGGAACTTTCTGCCCCCGGCCAATTGAAGAAAGGCGCAACCGCGACACCACACCTTCTCACACAAGCTACTATCAGCGGCGGTAACCATCCCTGGGGGTCTCAAGCAGACCCGCTTTGGTGCAAAGAGAGGAAAGAACCACCCCCCAACAACAAAGTGGCCAACAACAAAGTGCCCAACCTATGACCCCCGAAAAAGCTCTGGAGGAACTGCAGGAAGTGACAATACAGTATACCAACTGCGCCGATCCTTTAGAGAGTGCTGCAAGAACACAGAGGGCCATAGACGGAGAAACAAGAGAACTAATGCTGGAAACAGCAACCAGAATGCTGGAGGAAGCAAATCGCCTATCAAAAGTGCAAACACCAACCCTACCTCCAGATATGGCATTACTACTGGAGCAAAGCGGAAGACAACCCCCTCTGGATCAAACTGCACCGAAGAAACAAGTTTTAAGAGCGCAGAGTAGACAAGCAACAAAATCCCGAGTCATAAAGAAAAAGCTAGGAAGACCACCGGGCAGGAAAAACAATCCCACTGCTGCAACCTCCAAGATAACCATACCAGGAACTAGTTCACGCAAAAGAAAGCTCAAGCAGATTCACCAATCCCCAAAAAAACGATCCCAGAGAGGAAGAACCGGAGAAGAAACTGATGGAATCGGGACCTCAAAAACCCAAGCAATCTCTCGAATGCAAGCCCTGGAGGCCAACCCACCCTATGAGAGACCACCAGAACCATCAAATGCAGCAGCAACCTCTTGCCCTCTCATCCCAGCCATCCCGAGAAACCATGAGGATTTTCGGGAACCGGCCACGTCCCATCCACCAAGATAGTGAGCTGGAACTGTCAAGGGTTGGGGAATCCCTTGACAGTCCACAGACTACGGGAGATAAACAGAACAATCTCTCCTGACATATTATTCCTCACGGAGACGAAGAATTCGGAGGACTTCGTACTCACAAAACTTCAATGGATGAACTACCATTCTCACTCCTTAGTCCCTCCCCACACTCCGAGAGGGGGTGGACTAGCTCTATTCTGGAAACAAGACATAGAACTGGAAGTATTAGCAGCAAACAAAAACTACTTTGACACAAAGATAGTCTCAGAAGGCTGTACCTCGTATGTAACGCTTGTCTACGGGGACCCGGAAAGAAACCAAAGAAAGCAGGTGTGGCAATAATTGCAAGACTTAGCACTAAACCGTGATGCACCATGGCTACTTACGGGGGATTTCAACGACATTATTGACAACTCGGAAAAGTGTGGGGGACCAAGGCGACCTGAAGGATCTTTCTCAGATTTCCGAAGCTTCTTATCAGCGTGCGATCTGTACGATTTGCAACACTCTGGAAACTCCCTATCCTGGAGAGGAAAACGGTATGATTATACAGTAAGATGCCGCTTAGACAGAGCACTAGCAAACAGTACATGGGCAGAGGCCTTCCCTTCGGGAAGATGTGAATACCTTCGATTTGAAGGTTCAGATCATAGGCCTATAGCTACCTACTTCAACTCCAACTCAAGGAGAAGAAGAAGCCTGTTCCGCTACGATAGAAGACTTAGGAACAATGTCGAAATCCACCGTCTTATAGCCTCAGTATGGAAGCGCAAGGACCTGGACTCAGTATCAAGGAAACTCGGAGCAAGCAGAAGAGAAATCATTGCCTGGAATAAGGAACAACATAATAATAGTCAGAAGGTCATCACGGAACAAAAACAACTATTAGAGGAAGCAATGTCAAGTCCAACCTCACAAGACGAAGCAATTCGAACCATCAATGCGAAACTCCAATCAGCTTATGCAAAGGAGGAAGAATTCTGGAAGCAGAGGAGCCGCCAACTCTGGCTTGCACTTGGAGACAAAAACACGGGATATTTCCATGCCACTACAAAAAGAAGAAAAGCGGTTAACAAATTTTCTGTCATTGAAGACACAAGTGGACAAGCTCACTACGCGGAAGGAAAAATAGTGGAAGTCATCTCTGATTACTACAAAAACCTCTTCACCACAGAAGCAGGTGAGAGGGAGAGTATGGTCAACGAAGCGCTAAGGCCAAGACTCACGGGAGAAGAGAATGCAAGTTTAATCAAAAAGGCCTGTTTTGGCATTCACCCGGATAAAGCACCGGGACCGGATGGTTTCTCTGCAGCCTTCTTCCAAGCTCATTGGCAACAAATCGGAGACACCATAACCACGGAAGTTCAGCAATTTTTCCTCTCAGGACAGCTCCCTGCAAGAATAAATGAGACACACATCAGGCTAATACCAAAAGTTCAAGGACCAAAGACAGTCGCGGATGACAGACCCATAGCCCTTTGCAGTGTGTACTATAAGATCATCTCTAAGCTACTCACGAGAAGGATAAAACCAGTACTTCGAGGACTCATCTCAGAGAACCAATCCGCCTTTGTTCCAGAGAGAGCTATCTCCGACAATGTCCTCATCACACATGAAACGCTTCACTTCCTAAAGACATCAGGAGCAAGGAAAAATTGTTCAATGGCAATTAAGACCGATATGAGTAAAGCATACGACAGACTAGAGTGGGAGTTTATACACCTGGTTTTCCAAAGGCTCGGCTTCCACCCCACTTTCTGCCATTGGATCATGCAATGTATCACAACGGTATCTTTCTCCTTCCTCATCAACGGCACGGCACAAGGAAGAGTGAACCCACAACGTGGAATCAGACAGGGAGACCCCCTCTCTCCCTATATCTTCATCCTCTGCAGCGAGGTCTTATCTGGGCTCTGCAATAACGCGCAGGAAGCAGGCGTTTTTCCGGGCATCAGAGTTGCAAAAACCAGTCCAAAAGTGAATCATCTCCTGTTTGCAGATGATACAATGTTCTTCTGTAGAACCGACCCAAATACCTGCAAGGCTTTACGCAAAATCATTCAGCAATATTCTACAGCTTCAGGGCAGACCATCAACTATACCAAATCTACAATTACTTTTGGAGCAAAGGCACCTCCTGAATTGCGACAACGGATCAAGCGAGAGCTAGGGATAACAAAAGAAGGGGGACTCGGAAAATACCTAGGGCTATCAGAACACTTCGGCAGAAAGAAGAAGGATCTGTTCAGCCTCATCGTGGACAGAATCCGCCAAAAAAGAATCAGTTGGGCTACCCGCAAGTTATCCACAGCCGGGAAAATCACAATGCTCAAATCCGTCCTCTCCACAATCCCGACATACACCATGTCTTGCTTCCAGATACCTGTCTCCCTGTGTAAGAGAATACAATCAAGCCTACTCAGATTCTGGTGGGACTCAAACCCTGAGAAAAAAGGGATGTGTTGGACAGCGTGGAGTAAACTTACGCAACCAAAGAAATATGGAGGACTTGGCTTTCGGGACATCCAAGGTTTCAACGTCGCTCTATTGGCAAAGCTAGGATGGAGAATACTGCAGAGCCCGGACTGCTTACTCGCCCGAGTCCTCCTGGGGAAATATTATGGAGAAAAACCTTTTCTTGAGTGCTCAGCCCCTTCGACGACATCCCACGGATGGAGAGGCATACTTGCTGGCAGAGATCTCTTACTCAAGAAGCTTGGAAAGTCAATTGGTGATGGACTATCCACAAACATATGGTCAACATGGATCTCCCTGGACGAACCACTAGCCCCGATGGGCCCTGCTCCTGCTCACTTTCAACAACTTACGGTGGCCTCTCTCATCAATGACAACTCATCAGAGTGGAATCTAGCCCGCATTCGTGAAATCATACCGATATATGAAAAGCAGATTCTACAGCTTCTCCCAAGCTCCCTAGGAGCACCTGATAAGTTCACTTGGCTCCCTACAAGGGACGGGAACTATACCACAAAGTCTGGCTACCTTGAAGCGGTGGCAACTCCGGTACCACCTCCAAATCCAGACACAAACCCTCTTCACATCAAGTGGAATGACGATGTATGGAGTGTCAAAACCTCACCAAAAAATTCAGCTTTTCCTCTGGAAGATCTTGCGAGGAGCCCTCCCAGTGGGCAAAAAACTCATGGAGCGTATACCCACGGTGTTCTACGAGTGCCCACACTGCACGGAGTCAGAGTCAATCCTACATTTGCTCTTCACCTGCCCTTACGCTCAGGAAGTCTGGAAATTGGCACCTTTCGCTGAGACCACTGAAAATCTTGATTTTAATTCACCTCTGCAGGGTCTTCGAGCAATGAAGAACCGAGTATGCCTACCACCAACTGGCATATTGGTGTTATACCCGTGGATCTGCTGGGCAATTTGGTCGGCAAGGAACAAAAAAAATTTCAACGACCGCGATACAACACCCCTAGCAACGATCGATAAAGCAATCCAGAGCGCAAGAGAGTGGCAAGAGGCACAGGGTACCCAACCCAGAGAGCTTCACCAACAACCGCTACCTAGAAGGACACTACCAGAGACCCAGCCGAGGACGATGATGATCATCTGCTCCGATGCAGCCTGGAAAGAAGATCTGAGAGCAGCAGGACTAGGATGGACAATATCAAACCAGGAATTGGGGCTCAAGCTAGCCAGATCTGAAACTCGGAATCATGTCGGATCCCCCCTGGTAGCGGAAGCGATGGCTCTCCTCGCAGCGCTCCGACATGCAAAAACTTTACAACTGACGATGGTGACGGCTTTCTCCGATTCACAAGAGCTCATCAAATCCCTCAACGGAAGACCAAGCGACAAACACCTCTATGGTGTATTGCACGATATCATGTCAATCCGCGATTTATTTTCTAGTATTTCTTTTTACTATGTACCAAGGAAGAACAATGGTGAAGCGGACTCTCTGGCAAAGAGAGCCCTCACCACATCTGAACCCGGTTTGCTTTAAATTTAATGAAAGAAAGTATTTGTCCAAAAAAAAAAAATTTATGTGGAAATTTTGAGTTTAAGCCAAAGCTTATGCAGTTTATATGGTAATTTGGTAACATGCAATCCAGCTAGGAATTAGTTGGAAGGTATTCCAAACTTAAGACAGACACTGTGGTAGCCCACAAATCTCGTGAATGTTATGGTACACTGATCCAAATTCGCTCAAACCTCATAGTATCCGTTAAACTATTGAACTAGAGAGAAGTTCATACTAAAATATTTTAGTGTGTTCCTACCAGAGTTGATCGGATAAACCAATAGTATAAAAATTATTTGGTAGAAATTGGTTACTAAAAAACATATTATCATTAAAAATTAATTAATTAATAGATTTTGTAAAACCTAAAATATTTATAATTGAAAAAAAAATTCAATAATAAGTTCCAAGCCGAATGGAATAGAGTTAACTGCGAACAGATGAGATATTTGCTGTCAAGAAGTCTTGATTCAATTTAAAACGAGTAAAAAAAATCAAATTTATTGATTTTTAGTTTTTAACTAATAACTATGAACTTTGTTTTAAATGAAGTATGTTTTTATCCTTACTGCAGTAATCCGAACTTTAAGTGATACACAATATTTATAAAAGAAACTAGGGTGTAATTCACACTTAGCGCGGAATTTTACATCTCGTTTAATAATATGAATATATAAAATTAAATAATATAAAATAATATTTTATTTAGTTATAGTGTTAATAAAATATAATTAATCGGATGCTTATTTATACAATATTAATCTTTTTTTCATAAATGTTTAATATTTGTTTAGATATATTACAATATTGATCTTTTTCATAAACATTTTTTTCTTTAATCTTAATCTCTCTCTCTTTCTTCATTTCTCATAAACACAATATTTTGAATGACAAATAATATTTTGACACGGTTTTAACTTAACATTTACCTTGAATCCTCCTAACTCTTCTCCATCTCTCCTGGCTCCCTTATAAATACAGTATTTTAAACTACGAATAATATTTTAGTATAAGTTTAACTTAACATTAACGGAATAACCTATCTTTTTCATAACTCTTTTTTTTCTCGCCATTCTTAATACATGTTCTTTAATTTAAGTGTTGTAATTTTGTTATAAAATTTTTCTGTATTTTTTATTTGAAGATTATGTTTAGCAGATTTTACCTCTCGTAAATTTTGGAATCCTGTTCATTTGATCACAAATTCTAAATATTAAAATGAATATTTTTGTTTTTTCTATAACAATTACAAGTGTATAGTATATTTATAGTGAATATATTTTTCTAATTCGGAAATTTTAACGTTTACAAAATTTTAAAATTAAGTAATATAATTTAAAATCTATAAATATGAAATAACTAAATTGTTAAATTAAAGTTTTTTATCAATAAATCAATTATTTATTATAATTATATAACTTTTCATATTCTATTTAAATCTATTACATTAATAAAGATTAGTTATTATAAGCATTAACGGATTAAAGAATATAAAACATAATAAATAAAATAAAAAAACTTAAAATTAATAAAATTAGTTTAATAATGTGTCATAATTTAAAGATGGAAAATAATGAGGTGGCAGCATAAGAAGAAGCTTTATCTATTATAACTATATAATAAATTTTCATATTTTATTTAAATTTATTACACTAATAAAGATTAGTTATTATAAGCATTAACAGATTAAAGAATATAAAACATAATAAATGAAATAAAAAACTTAAAATTAATAAAACTCAAATTCTAATTAATGTTAAAAGGTTTTCTTGAATTAATGAAATTATAACCTTTACGAAAGATAATCAACATTGAATTACCTAAGTCAATCGCAAATAAATGAAAGGAAATCTAGCAACGAAGCCTAAGGAAAATTTTTGAAACAAATTTGACCTAGTCCCAGCCATCAACCATCATAAGTACGTAGCTATAAGCCGTGTGAGACCAGGATTAGTCGATGATCAAATTCATATTTAAATGAGAGTTGTCTTTTTGTCAACGAGGATATAATTAATAGTGATTCCACGACGCATGAGCTAAAACATGGAGTACTTTTCAAATAAAATGAAGTTGTTATATTCGGCTTCCAATGATTTAAGGTTCTCGAATTTCCAATCAACGTTGTTCTCATCTCTAGCGTTTATTCCATGCCTCCATTTCTTTACCTTTGTAATTATACTTGAAAAAACAATTTCTTTACTTCACCGTATTTGATGTTATATATCCAGGAGGCTGGTGTTGCAGATTGCAAAGAAGAGGTTCCAAGATTTTGGTTTACCACCTTGGAAAACAATGATCTTATATCCTAGAGATAGGTGATGAAGTTAAAGAGCCAAAATTATTCATATTTAAGGATTTACGAATTAGATTTCTATTAATATATTGCAGGAAGAGGGTTTGTTTCATCACTAGATTTTTGCATAGCCAAATTTCTGTTTATCATATGGTTTGTAGTTTGATTATTAAGATTAGTCTCCCACATCATGAGAAATTGAGAAAACAATCTTAGCATATTTGGTTTTGCAGGGTAAAAATCTTATTCAAGTAAAGAAAGGACTTAAGATTAACTCTATCTAAAGGTCTGTTCTTTAAAGCTACTTTTTATCACATAGGCTTTTCATTCTAATGTTTTTTTTCCATCATCTTCTTGACTGGAAAATGATCAGTTCCTCCTAAACCAAGCAAATGAAACTGTAAACAATTTGTTTTCTTTAATAGTCTCTTAGGATTTGTATGTTATGTTAACAAAACACCCATAAATTCAAATGGACGCAGCATCTAAACCCACGTTATATTTATTTACGTGCTTATGATTTGTATTACACAATTGTTTAGTTTGGAAAAAGAATAGTTTTACTAGGTTTCATTCACCTAGTAAAACATAGACTAAAATATTTTTACTAGGTATATAGGAGTTCAAAAAGCATATGAATGTCTACAAAAACATAGACTGAAATTTGCCTATATGAATGTCTCCAATCGAAAGTGAAGGAATTAACATTAGGTAGAAGGTGCTATTGAATTAAGTATCAAATTCTCGTAGCATTTGGTTAAACGTAGAAGGTATTATTGACATATCCTCATTATCAACAAGTCCCACTGCTTTGTGCACATTCTTCTTCCTCTAAGGACATCCTTCTATTGTGGATAACAGTAGTCATCTTTCAGTCTCACGAACAAGCTCACCACTTCACAACTCCGCCCCGCGCACGTCACAAGGATAGCGTATACAATAGCCCATCTTAGGCATGTCCTTGTAAATCTGAAAAGCAGCATCCACAATTTTTTCTTCTAGAGTAACCAAGAATCAGAGATATAAGTGAAATGATCTGGAGTCAACCTAGCCTGAATCATCTTACACACGTATTGCTTCGCCTCTTCCACATACTCAAGCTCACAATACCCATTAATCATTGCATTCAAGGTGTCCATGCCCCATGATGAATCTAGTTCACTATATACCCTTCCGCTTCATTTCATCAACCAATCTAAACCTAGCCAATAAAATTAACAATGCCTTAGCTTTTTTCCTACAGAAGCCAACAAGAAGCAACTTTCTTGCACTGATTTCGAAGTCCTTACCATCAAGAAAAAGATCTTGGACACGTGACACAAGATCCCAAGCTCGGATAAAACATCGAGGATGTATGCATAGGAAGATTCTTTGTATCTGAAACTGAATTTTGACCGACACAACCCTACGTAACCAATGTTTTCTAGTTACTTTTTGCGACTTTTCCCTTAAGTTTCATTAATTTTACACCAGCTCCTTGTAACTTCGTTTACTTACTATGCAAGAGCATGATAATTGTTCTGTTTTTTTTTCTTTTCTTGAAGGTTAACTAAATTAACTGCTGAAATTCATGATTTATAGTTTAGGATGTTTGTTAGAGGGCAAAATAGAATATTTCCCGAATAAAATGGAATAATATAGTCGATTAATGTTTAAAATGTCTAAACCATATAGTGAGGCCAATTTCAGATGGTGATGTTTGTGGACTGGGTTATCTTCGAGTCAAACGGATCAATCTTTATGGTCAAACATACTATACTAGTAGAATTTCAATAAATTAATATTTAATAAATTAATAATTATTATAAATCAAATTTTTTTGTAGATTCCAAATTGAGTCAATATATAAATTAACAAAGTTTAATATAATATTTTTTGAGCTCTTATATACAGTCCCACTCATCGAGATATTTGTGCAAACAGATACAATTCATCTATGTAATTAAAAAAAAACTATCAAAACAAACTATAAATATATGAAAGAACCTTTTTTGCAATTCCTATGATGTAATAATTATATATATATATAAATAATGTAACGTACTAAATTATAATTCTATTATTTTATAAGTTTATAAATGTTGTTGGACTATTTCTTCAGATTTATTGATGTTATAACATTTCTGAACGAATTTTTACAGTGTCATTTTCTGATGAACGTTAAGAATCCGAATCAAAAGATTTTCTCTATAAATTAATTAATAAATTTATAAATTAATATTTTGAAGTTCTAACATTATAAATAGGTTTACATATATGAAAACAACATAGCTGAAATAGTCATGGAAACCCTAGCCATCCAGAGACAAAAATAGTTATTTGTTGATTCTTTGCTAATAGCTGAAAGCTTCATTAGCTCTGTCATCGGTTGGGTTGCTTCTTTTGTTAGCTCTCTATATTACTTTTGGTTTGTTTGGTTTTTTATTCTTTCTTTGGATTTGGAAGAGTTTTTTTTATCAATTCTTTATTAGCTTTATATTTTGAGTCTTGTTGCGGTGTGGATGTGTTTAGCGTTAATGATGGTCATGTTATATCTATATTATGTGTCGGGTTTCTTCTCCTTTCTTCATCAGTGTTTTCCACAACATATGTGTTTGGTTTTTGGGATTATCGGTTGAGCGACTCAGATTAGTCTCCTCTACTAGAAAACACAATCATATGTGGATTTACTTTTATCTTCTTATTACCGAATTTATATTGTTCTTTGTCAAAATCAGTTACATCAGTTTTGGAAGATTTTAAACCACTTCAATAGAAGCTATGTTCATAAAGCATATTTCATAATTGTTAAAACCTACTCATTATCAAATGAGGATAAAAAAAAATAAAAATTTGTTCTGCTTAAATTTGTAAAAAATCTTATAATCGTGATATTATTTTGCCTGATCTCTCATTGTAACCATCTGATTTATGATATTGAACAAAAATTCTAATAAGTTAAAAAAAAGTCTCAATATTATTATTAATTTATAGAGATTTTATACAATTACAAAACAGGATAAGAAGAAGTTGGGTCACTCAGCTTAAGAACCCTATATCGTTTGGTTAGTCAAGGTCCATTTGAAACTTCAAAACCCTTCTCAAAAGCAGACTATCTCTTGTATAGCTAGGTAGAAGAGAAGTTGTTGTGTTCTAATAAGCACGACTCGAATCATTATTTTTTCAACGACACGTTAAGTTAAAAGAAAATTCCATGATTGGTCGGATGGAAAATAATTTACAAAATAACATCAATAAACTGATCTACAAGAGCAAAGCTAAACATCAAAATTAAATGTTAGGAAAGAGTTTTCTTATCCTTTAGTTTAACACAAATTGTTTCGGGATATTCTTATTTCTAGGATTTTGACATTTTGTAGACGATAAATAATATAATTGTAATGTGTATATATGAAAATTGACGGGATATCTTTTGAATAGAACATCATATCGGAAAATATTTTTAAAAATCCAATTTTTTATAGAAGTTAGTATTAGTTTTTGCCAACGGCACCATCCATTTTAGGGTTGAACTTGAATGATGACATACATTATACATATGATGCTAGAACAAAGTACAAACCATTGTACTTTTTTTTAATCAAAAACTGGAATCATTTTATAGAAATAAAAAAAAAGTTGAAATGCTTTTTTGTCTGGCGATTTTTCTTTTTTCAATTTAGGCCTGAGATCATTGTGAATCTGATTTTTTAGTAGTTTTACAAATTATCCCTAAACTAGAGAGATATGTTTCGTAATATCATATATTAAATTATTAATGGAAAAATCTATTTTATTAGATTGAGTCATCCATATTTAACATAAGCTTTTAATGCAATCTGCTCACCCATGGAATAATTGAATTTTACATTGATAATGATTGACGAAAAGAGTTGTTAGATACTCGGTTAAAGTCAAAGATACAACAGCATTAAATATCACAAAGCAAAAATGATGACAAAACGTTAACAGATGTCTTGTGTGTGAATGTACGTATCCTAAATATAGTCAAAAACATTACAATGTTAGCATAAGAAAATTTGAGTACCGAATCTAAGTAAGTGACAACAAATCAACTTCTTTTTACTGCATGAAAACATTACCATATATTATAAAAAGAACTAGTCTTCGGAAAAATAAATGAATAATTCAGGATTTATTACCTTTCTAAGAAAACATATCCAATAATAGTCAAAGTAATAAGTAGATTTGTTTCCCAAAGACTAATTTCACCTTTTACAATTTATAGCATATTTTATTAATGCGGAGTGTATATAAAACGATACATAAGCAAGCTAGGAAACATACATATTATCTAAAATACATCTTATAATTCAGCAAAAAAAAAAAAAAAAAATACATCTTACCACCTTTCAAAATGTCGTCGATCCCGATTATTTTCAACTCTTACGGTGAAGATAATACGAACCGTCGTGGATTCGCTCCCATCCAAATGAACTCCACGCTGAGTAATCACAACGCCGTGGTTCGGTCGACGTTCACCACCTCTGACCACATGAACCATGGAGATTTGTTTTCTTCTCCTCCTTCTTTTTCTCGTTTTCAAAACTCTCATGTCTCTTCATCTTCTTTTGCATTGAACAATTCATATCATATGAGGAGAGACACTAACTCTGTCTCTGGTGTTGATATTGTTCCTATGCAAGATAATCCTCAGTTTTCTCAAGTCTCTTTCACCCAAACCATCACAAACAAATATTCTGCTATTGTTCCCACCAGTGAAATTGCCAATCTCCAAAATAATCTCCAACGTCCCATGGATTCTCAAACCAACACTTGGAACCGTCCTCCTTCTTTTCATCCTCAAAATGTTGCCACCAGTACAATCAATCATTTCCAAAATGTCCAACGTCCCATGGATGCTCAAGCCAACACTTGGAACCGTCGTCCTTCGTTTCACCCTCAAAATGTTCCCGCCACTTCAACCTCCAGTTTCCCAAACGTTGTCCAACGTCCCATCGATTCTCAAACCTCTTCTTGGGTTAATCCTTCATTCCAATCTTCAAACTTTGCTGGGAGCGAGATCTTGCAGCCTGAGCCTCTCAATGTCGTGTTTCCTCAACAAGACTCTATTTATCGTCAGCACTTGGACTTGTTTTCTGCGGCATCAAAGCAACACCCTGGCCAACATGTTCCCCAAGATGCTCCACCTCTGCAGGATGCCACTGAACCAGCCGAATTCGCTGAAGAATTTGCCGATCAGTATCTCAATCCTGAAGAAGAGGAGATCAGTGAAGATGATCCGTATGATGGTCGGACTCATAGTCTGCCGTATGAGAAATACGGTCCATACACATGTCCAAAGTGCAGTGGTGTGTTTGACACGTCCCAGAAGTTTGCTGCACACATGTCATCTCACTACAAGACAGAGACGAACGAAGAAAGGTATGAGAGGTACCGCGCAAGGAACAAAAAAAGGTTTCGTAAACTTCACCGCGCAATGTATGGCCAATCCAAGAGAGTCAAACTGGAGGATGGAGTCAGCAACGGTGGAGCGAGTGGGAGTGGAAATTTCCAGCAGCTTGTGGTCGTCAAAGAAGAGCCTCTTTAATTAGGAGTTCGTTTTTTATTAATGTCTTTTATAACTTATTTTCCTTAAAAAAAAAAAAAAAATTGCATGTTTTTCTTCTTTGATGGCTTCTCATCATCTTTGTTGTTGTTGTCCATATGATTGAATGTGCGTCTTAGGGCAGATAATTTCAATTGTCTTGCTCTTTAATGTATGATTCGGTTGTATTCTATAATATATGATATTTTCCATAAATCTTAATAAGTAGCATTGCAAATTTTTGATTTGGCTAGACACAATGGTCTATACCTGATGATGCTGGTGATTGTTAAGGTGATTTTAGTTTTCTGATTTGTTGAGTTTTGTGGAAGTTTCAATGTTCAATTTATTTACTTTGCTTTTTTTTACAAGAAATAAAAGAGATAGATTTTAGTTACCTGTTACTTTACCAATTTATTTACTTTACTTTGCTTTCTCAGCTAACTTGATGATAAGATAATGCTGACCACTTCTCTCAAGTTAGATCATTATTCTTTAGGACTCCATCTTAGCATGAGTATTAGACCTGTGCTACCTCAATCTATGTTAACTCTTATGCACACCATCTTAGGTGGTAAGCACATCCACTTCATTGATTCTTTTCATTCTTATTGTATCTAGATCTATTGTTTTTTTTTTTTCAGAAAACTATTTTCACCTTTTGGGAACCATATTGTTTGATGTTGTTGCTCTGCGCAAATTTCAGTTTAGAGGCATGATGAGTTATTTTTCCTCAATTGTGCATTGAAACCAAAATTTAAGACTTACTAGCTTGTGATTGGTCTCTATATGTGTCCAGGTGTGTTTTGGTTCTGAAAAGATCTACTACAGCTTCTCTCAGGTCTCAAACCTGGTTTCAGAATAATGGTAACATCTCCAGCCCTTAATAGTTCTTGAGAAAGGGTATTGCTGCAACTAGTCTGCTCCTCAGAAACCTATAAAATGGAATCTCCAAATTCACAGCAAATTCTTATACTAAAACATTATTATATGGAATCAAAATGTCTGTCATGTATGGTTGCCGGTTGTGTTTGAATTCTGAACCTTTTTGGTTACAGGATGGGTGTTGAAGTAGATGGGTTGTTTAAGGAGAAGAGTGACTGAGAGTGTGAGATTAGGGATTTGAAAAGAGAATCTTATGATCTGATGCATAAACTAGAGAGTGAGAGAGAAGCGTTGAGTAGGGTTTGTGATGAGAGGGATTCGATTAAAAGTGGGTTTGCATGTGCCACAATTATGCATATTTATCTTTTCCACGAGAGTCTTAATTGTTGATTGATTATTTGAACAGTGGAAGCCACAACAATTGCAATGAGATTCTCTCCTGACTATGGCCGTATTAAGTGCTTCAGCAACCTCTATAAGGTAAAATTTGATGTTGGCCTTTTAAATACCAAGATATCAATGGGAAAAGATATAAGTGTAATTAGGTTCAATGTTACACTAGAATTAGAGAATACGAATGTATAGCACACAAATTTCCTGCAATTCTACCAAGTTTATATAATTTGTTCTTGGTGTCTTTGTATAGGAGGAGAGACAACATATCTATAATCAAAAAATGCCAAGCAGAAACCATCCTATAAGAAAGATTCCGGTATTCCCTTCTCTTAAATCTGCAAGCACAAAAAAGGTTCAATATCTCACTTCTTCTTTGTCCTAATTCTTGTTGGAAATGAGAATTTGTTATTTTTTACTCTAATTACAGTTGAGTAAAACTGTATTACTTGTGTGGAATTATATATGTAGAAACAAGCTCTTTTGGTTTTAGAATTTTCTTATTTTTTTGGGTTAAATGATGATGAGAAGTGTTCAAGTGTATTTTGGGAATTGTTTTGTCAAAATTTATGCTAATTTAGGGGAGAAGGGAGGACTTCATCATGTATTTTCTGTTTGACATTATTTGGTATGCGCAAGAAACTTTTCCTTTTGGTGTGTTTCTCTAAACGTTTGATAGAAAAGGGTGCTTCTTTATTAAAGAATCTAGAAGATAGATTACTATTTCTAGGTTCTTTCATGGTGTAGGAGCAGAAAGTCGTTACATTATTAATTGGTTTGGGAGTTCTGATAAGTGTTATTTTTTGAGTATGGTGTGCAACTGGTTTAATGCATCTAATACCACGACAATTATGTAGATGATGAAATTTATGATTCTGAAGAACCTAGCTCATTCTTGCAGAGTGCCAAGATTCCTTTTCATGATTTTTTTTTCAAGACATTTATGAATGTGCTTTGAACAGGTTGTGTCAAAACATTTATCTTAGCACTTAACCGTTTAATACACGATGAAGCTATGATTACAAAAGCATCACTTATTACATTTGACACATCACTACAAGCTGCAACAACAAATTGAAATGGTGGAGAGAAATTGTAGAGTGAAAACACAAGTACACAATATCTTATATCATCTCTCTTTCTCTCTCACATATCTATAAAACATATTTTTTTGTCTTCGCTTTTTCCAATAAAGACATGATTGCATGACTAAAAGTTTCTTTTGAAATTTTTCACATGTTGCTAGCTTTGAGAGGGTCTTCCCCAGCAGAAACTGATGAAGATGGCATTGAGCAAAGTTATAAGACAAATTGAGACAAAAGAAAGAAAAAATAAGACTTCAAAACTAACCAAAACCAATGGTTTGCTCGACCACTTGAGCCTTCAGATGATGTGCTTCTTTCCAAGCATTGAAGCTCTCCAGTTTTTTCATCAAGTCATAAATGATTTTCTGACCGCCACAGAGAAAAAGTTTCTAGGAACTCTATATTATTACTAGTTGTTTTGAGAAACTTTGCGATGATTAAAATAAAATTCAATAATAAAGTATGGAAAGTTAGGTTTTGGAAAATAAAAGCATATGTAGACATTTATCAAGTAAGGATACAACTCTGGTACAAATAATCTCCAGCATTATAATATGGTGAAATTTGTAGTTTATGATGATAGCTAAGATTGTATCAACAAAAATCTTCTATATGAAAGCAGAAAAAAACACATATAATTGAAGAAAAACAATTGATGGCTATAATATCGTTTTCGAAAGGGAAGAAGAGCAGAGTTAGAGATTACAATCGCTTTCTTTAATTCATTAAATGATTGTAGTGTGCAGTTTGATAAATTTAATCTCCTGATAAAACTAATGCAGTTATCTTGTCTCGCATCATTTATAACAAACCCTAACAATCGCTCAAACCGGTAAAAGAGGAATTGTATTGTAGAATTGTAGAATTGTCAAAGTTCAGCTGAGAATATACGAGTTGCAGTTGTGGAATGGTGGAAGAACGAGAAAAAATTCAGAAAAGATAAAATGTGTTGGATTGCTAATTTTTTAATCAAAAGTAAGGTAAAGAGGGAAATTAATGAAAGAAACTATATAAGGCTCATTAAGCTATATCTGGGGCTCTTTAAACTATCCACATCAGCTTTTCAAACTACTCTAAAAATATGCCACATCAGCAAAAAACGATAATTAAAATTTTCACTTAAAATTTTTTTGAAATACACATAAAATAAATAAATAGAACCACTAAAATTAATATAGTTATTAACAAAAGTAAATAAAACTAAAATATCATTTTTTGAATCAGTAAAATAAATATTATTTAAATCTATAACATCAATATATACTCCTTTTGTTTGTAATATAACAAAATTAACAATAATAATAATTCTCACTTTAGATTTTTTGGAATACACATAAAATAAATAAATATAACCACTAAATTAATATAGTTATCAGCAAAAACTAAATAAAATTAAATAACATTTTTTGAATCAGTAAAATAAATATCATTTAAATCTGTAGCATTAATATATAATCCTTTTTGTCACTAAAATTAATATAGTTATTAATAAAAGTAAAAAACTAAAATATCATTTTTTGAATCAGTAAAATAAATATCATTTAAATCTATAGCATCAATATATACTCCTTTTATTTTTAATATAATAAATTAACAATAATAATAAATTTCACTTTAGATTTTATGAAATACACATAAAATAAATAAATAAAACTACTAAATTAATATAATTATTGGCAAAAACTAAATAAAACTAAATATCATTTTTGAATCAGTAAAATAAATATCATTTAAATCTATAGCATTAATATATACTCTTTTTGTAATATAATGAATATATTGGACAATAAATTACTCTTAAAAAACTTAAATAACAGTTAATAAAAATAAGATTACAAAATAGTAATTTCTAAAACAAAATTTAAAACATTCACAAATTAGAAAAATCTAAAACATTCATCTTTTAGAAACGTACATATAATATACATAACAAACAAATAAATTATGTTTTTCAAATTAACACAACTGTAATTTACATATATGGACACAAAATTGTCTATTCTCTCACAAATATATACTTATAAGAATTTATTTATACAACTTATTACAAAAATATATGCAATACATTTACAGAAAAGATAGACTAGCATAACTCTATTTTAAATATTAATATATTACACTTTTATATTTAAAAAATAAAATATATATTTTTATGTAAAAGAAAATTTCTAAAACATCCCTAACCATCCACATCAACAAAATATAAATTTCATACAAACTCAACATGTAAGGAAAACTAATATGGTTTTTTTTGGGTTAAGAAACTCCTTTAAAAATAATATAATAGATATTATTAATTTAATTATAAAGATTCGTCAAAATATATGTGTAGTTTAATAAAATATTTAAGTTAAATTACAAGCCAAATAGAAATTTACATTTTACATTTTTCAGTTTTGAGAAACTCGACATACCTTGTTTAACAAAATGCGTTAGTATGAAATTCTATTTGTATATATATTACTTGCTTTATTTATCTACATTTCTGTAGTTTACATATGCTTCATGGACCATATGAATTTATTAATATAATTGTGATTCTGTATACGTATTATGTAAATATTGCTTTTATTGATATGAAAATGATTACTTTACGGATTTGTAAGAGTTTGGAACATTGGTTGTTGTTTCGTATTTGAG